TAGTTGACATGTAGTTACAAAGTTACTTATAGTTAATAGAATGTCTAAAGTGGACTATCGAAATAAAGTGTAACCAAACGGTTTAGTCCCTACTCTGAGGTAAGTTAGTTAGTCTAAAGTTAGTCCCCCCAAAATTGTTCCCAGTTCCTGCAGTGCGAACATGGCAAAAAGCAGGTATTTCCTCCAATAGTTATAGGAACTAGGAAAACGTTTCTTCAGCAAAAGTCCCTATGTACCCTTTTATGAGTAAATACAATATGAAGATGTACCTTTAGAGAGTATTACTCCAGTAACGGCTGTTGTGTTCATAACAGCACCATTTCTTTACGAGAGTATGTACTATATTGTCGTATATTCTTTATAGGAAAACAAAAATCAATGTCTTGTATAATGTATTACTTTAGAGCACTGAGCAACTTGTGTAACACTTAACTTGGCACAATATGGTCATAGGGTCAGCTAGTAGTTTGCAAACACGAACAGCATATTTGGATCACCACCCCGCCTGAGTAGCGTGATATAACAGTTTCATGTATGTTTCTCCAGGTGTCACTGAGGACAGCCAAACATTTATAGGACCATGTTGTATTGAGAGGTTCTAAAATAATGTTTGTAACTTCCGGGGCCTCATTTATAAAGCGTGCGTGCGCTCAGATTTGATCTTAGAGTGTGCGTGCACTTAAATTCACAGCAATGCTCATATTTGATGTGGAAAAGTGCTTAGCGTCACGTCAGGGTCTGAGCAGACGTACACACTTTTTCTTGTCGGAGTACTGCAGGTTTTTGGAAATGTAAGCTGTTCTTGCAGCTCGCTGTTCTAAATTAAAGAATATGGACGATGACTGCGATCTTTTACATGTTAATGACATTAATTAGGAGTCGTTTACAAGGCAGAGAGCTGAAACCATTCAGTTGTGCGCAAGTTCAAGATCATTTGCGATTCATAGATTTCACATCTGAAAGAGAGGCATACGTGCGTTTTCTGCACGTACGTTCATTCTATGAATCACACGTACGCATATTTGAGAGATGATCGTAAGAACAAATTTAGGATGGTTTCTGCGCAACGTTTTATAAATGTGGCCTCTGGAGACTTCAGTCAATCTTTTAATTAAGCACTGAATTGGGTCGGAAGCGATAATAAATATTTTATGTCTGTTGATGAATAACATATCACTTAGATGATACACTATGTCAGTATTGAAATTAAGGCTTTCAAAATCCAGAGAAATTCAGAATCTTAAGGACTGCTAACATACAGAATTCATTTCCTGTAGATCACGTGTATATGAAAAAGAATACTTAAGAGTGAACTGATCCTCTTTTTCTTGTCATTGCATGAAATGCCAAACTGATGCCAAGTTATGTTTTATGCTATTTTATTGTATTTTACATAATACTGTAGTGTATATTATGTAGAGCACATTGGTCAACAGATGTTGTTTTAAATAGTGCTTAATAAATAAAATGACATTATCATGTTGATCTGGAATGCACAAACATAATGTCAGAGTCAGCTGAATGAATAGGTTAGCAATTTGATTGGTTCCTTAATGTGATTCTGTGAGTCTCCTAGCCTTTATTATGGCTAGTGACACAATATCACTCTTTGATTAGTAGCCAACAAATAACATAATACCAACATTCAGCATGGTTGAAAAAGAAATCACCATGTATAACCTTCACAAAATATACACCAATTCTTGCATGACCATTAGCATCATACTTTACTGTTTGAGCTACAAGAATGCTTTGCAATTGCAATAGAAGTTTAAATAGTACAACACTACTAAATATTTTGGGCCCCTTTAACTGCGCACAAGTAATGCGTTAAAGCTTTTCAAGATTATTATTGCATAAAATACAAAATGCACGCAAACAACTTCGACACTATGACAAAAAAATCTGACTTTAAAAAAAAAAAAAAAAATCTTTTTTTAACCA